CACTTTGTTCTACCTTAATACAGCAGAGAGAGTTCTTCCACGGATGCAGTTTCTATAATAGGGATTATTGCCCAACAACTCCATCGCGTGCGAGCCATCAATTCTTGACCTGATACATAATGCGTTCCATTATGCAACAGCAATTTCTCCTGCGTTGTATGGATTAGGTATATCGCACGTTTCAGAGAGGTTTGCAACAGCATCATCAATAACCTTCTGGTATGTATCACCAATGATAACAGGAGCTGGACTGCAGGTTTAGATGGGAATCAAGCAAGAATTCAAGGTATGGTGGGCTACTTCGCCAGCGTGAAGACGGATCTTTAACTGTGTTAACCAGGTCGAGTAGTCTAGCCTAACGTAATCAAGCGGGCAAAAGCGTTACTGAAACTATGATTAAAATGCACGAATGTGAGCAGATACTTGTGTCTGTTTGGGTTATCGTATATATTCAAGTGCATAACAACGGTGAGGCCCCGTGAATAGGTGGTCAAAATAGACCACATGGTGAAGCTTCAAAGGCAGAGACACTCGTTCAGTTCAGGTCCTGTGCTCTGTAGTTACGCCGATAGACTCTCTTCAGTTTAGACCTGGGTACTGTGAGACGAGGCAAGATACATGGTCGGAGCAGAGGGAGGGCGCTTGGAGGAGGGGCACTTTAACCAACAGTGCGTAAGAAGGTAGAATTAGATCGAAAGATATAGCGTAGGCAGGAGTTCATGCGTGCTCTAAATTAGTGGTCAGAGGTATTTGAGATCTGCGTACGGATGAGGGTCTTGTTATTCATTGAACGGTTTTGGTAGGCCCATCGCCGCGTTTACTATTTAGATCCATCACGTGCGCTCGACTTTAGTGCTGCAACAGCCTCGCGGCGGTGTGCTGGACCGCCCATGTAGGAATAGAATGAATCGGGGCGATATGAGCGCAAGTGAGTGCTGTATGCAAGGTGGGAGAGGCGACAAGAGAGATGGGTAGATGTATGCTCGCGATGGTAAGGGATTGAATAATTGTTCGATCTGCTAGCATCATTAATAACTTGCAAAATAATATGGTTTGCACAAATTGTGCTGGCACGACCAGATAGTATCGCTCGTGTGGCATGATGTATGCATTGTCAATAAATACTATTTTCGGAAGATCCGAAAATAGAGAGGGAGTTGACGCTAGTTTTTCGTCGAGTAGGCTCGGAGAGAATAGTACTGAGCATGAACTGCTGGATCCGATGCACGTGGAGAAGCGTTATAATCAAGTAGATGGCGTCTCTCAGCTCTTTACTTACAGTTGGCCGTGGCGATGCCTTATCTGATGATCTCCGAGCAACTTTCTTTTTGTTTATCGAGACAGAAGAGGAAGGAGAGAGTGAAAGAATACGATGAGGATTTCATGGATTTGAAATAGATGAAGGGCAATATCATACTAGTTAGCCACTGTATCATCACAATACCTATTGAACTGATGGTAAGTGAGTATTCTGTTTGTGATTCTGAATACTACACCGAGGATCAAGTAGTATGTTTTCTCAACTTACAGTGAAAACTCTATTGTGAGGATATAAGCTTTCTGTTATGAACTTATTTATTTGAGGGATCTAGGGAGTGTCGGTGTGCCAGACACCGGAAGGCTCAACTGTCCAGGCGCAGGAGGCAAAGTGGCGTATAGACGATAGTCAATGATAAGGATACAGTAAATAATTTCGCAAGAGTGAAGGTGTGTCATCGTCGCTCTCTACGTGTTAGTGTAAGATGAGATTTACCATTCCGGGGGATACAGGCGCATGAACGGCGCTCAGACGGGGTGTTGCTATAGCACGACTACGTAGGCGAGCAATACGAGCATCGGGCGAGAGGGTTTCCACATGTGAGGATAAAGTTCAGCATTCATTGACACGCTCTAGAAAAACTCCGATAATAGATAGAGAAGCTGCGGATGCATTCGGCTTTTTGATTATGGCGAAGACAATTGATGACTTGAGGGGTCAAGGGCCTAGCTAATTTATCGCTGCGTCAGACAGTGATGTTTAAGATTGTCCCATACTTGCCAGCCGGGTTGTCCTACTCTTGATAAAGCGTATGCAGTCGGTCTCGACTGTTATTCAAGGTGTTAGAGTGAACATGGCCGCCTGACAATAGGGGTATCCATAGTGTTTATGCAAATATGTTTTAACACTCAAAGTGATGATGTAAATGCTGAGATTTGGGGTCGCGAAGTTTCCAGGGCTCAAGACCTACCGTTTCAAAAACAAAGGTGTAGCGAGCCTGATCTGTTCTTGGTAGGTGTGTGCTGTACTCTAAAGATGCATGATGTTGAAAAGCACGCGACCGAGGAAATCGAAATCTAGTATGCAACTGATGTCGGGAGGTAGGAGTCGAGTGAACAGACCTATTATTTTTTGACTTTAAAGAGGCTAATGCCGATGAAAGACTAAGCGTGAATCAGTTAAGACTTATGGTTTGGTGGATAAGTACCCTTGTATTCGGCGAGTGAAACAGGCAGAGACTATAGATGTCGGCGTCGGATGTAGATCAGGAGATTGGTGGGATCCGTACGAGGCGGGAGAGGTAGGAGGAACGGGACGACTAGAAAGGCGCAAGGTGTTCACAATAGTCTCCAGAGACTCGTTTGTGAGGTTAGCCTAGCGAGGCTCGTATTGGCGCAGACGTCTATGCTTGTACTTTGTTAGTTACGAACCTAGACGTCGTATATAGTTCGCTACGCTGTTGGGTAGAGCATTCTTGTCACAGGCTGAACGTCATCAGGTGAGTCCTTGTGTATTCCACCAAACCTGGTGTCAAGTGGTTAAAGTATAGATAGTGAAGGATCAATAATAAGGACAAGGAGCTTCAAACACTGGCTGGGTTTTTCGCATACTGTATCAAGCGAAGAAACGTAGCAGCTCTGGTACAGCCTATTTTTGGTACCAGGAACGAGGGATTTGCTACGTATCAGTACATGATATACGATATCTTTTGACGCTGTTAACTGCAAGAACTAATTGCAACGTAACTTTGACTAAACATTTCGTTTTAGAAAAAGTGAATTTGTATTTAAGAACAGTAAGATAAAACTTTATTTGATTCAGTCGGCAGTTTATAACAAGTGCTTAAAATGAAACTGAAGATAAGTAATTCAATAAATCTTAAGAAGGGTTGAAGGGGGATATGAAGAGATTTTTGTCAGTAGACATTCATATGGCTACCCTGGGCGACAGAGTCTCCATTATTTAGTCTCAGAAATATACAGTATTCTCTCTATTTAGAGGACACTGTCGGGACCAGAGCAAGGTGTGCGCTAATTGGAAATGTCCCCCCTTTGGAAAGTTTTGCAATATAAGTTTCAAAGTTGAAAATAGACCCTAGCTTGGTATTTAAAAGGTGTAATCAGTGGTGGCGCCAGGGGAGGGCTAGGGGGGATACAGTTCCTCCGTTGGAAGCACTTAGGAAACAACAATAATCATTTGAGCTTCCTTCTTTGCCACCGAAGCGGTCTACAATACTTTATCCCCGGTTTATTGAGGATCTGGTACCCAGAGTATCATATGGCTGGACTGCTAGGTAACAAGGTAAAAGATGTTGCCTCTGCGACGAAAATTTTGACGAAAATACGCCCCCTTTAAGGCCTGCACATTATGACAAACTTCCGACCTCTTTAAAAACTTTGTGAAAGTAATATCTAATTGCAAAAGGTGTTACACACATGAACAACAAGAGTGTTGGCATCCGAAACAGGACTTGATTTGCACCAGGGAAATCAGAGAACGACAGGTCATTTCTTCTATAAAATTTTCAAGTCCCTCCTTTTGATGAAAGCATCAAATCTCCCTGTTTCGACCACCGACAAAATCTCTGGAATATGAGTACATTCCTCCTGGTCAGACAGCATTAGGTCTAGCAGAGTCGATTAAAATATCTAAAAATTTAGTCCTCACTTAACCGATATCTAATTTGCATGGGCAGCCCGGCAAAAAAGCTCCTTTTAAGAATGCGTTCAGAGCGACTTGGATCAATAAGTCCTGCTGAGTATTGGTTGCCTCGGCAACCAGCTCCTCCACAGAACTCTCGACTTGTGGCAGAAAGTGATGCAACCAAAGGTCTTCAGCCCAGCTGCAAAGAAAAGGATACCTTATGTAAAATTATTGCAGGGTTTCTATTTTCAAACGAGGAAGGGGAGAAGGAAGACGGCATGCAACTTACCAAATATGACATTAAGGCCGTATTAGACACAAGGACAAGCAGAGGCGCAGTATTATCTAAGGCGCACGAAACATAGAGCCTATGGACCATAGGAACTTTTGCTTAGGCCTAGGCACTTATGATGACACCTTTTTTGCTTTCTGTACAGTATGTATGTAAATTTCGTCATGATTAAGCGATTTCCCAGCACATTTCTACAGAAATCACGCGACTAAGCCGCCTTCTTCGAAAGGGAACCAAAAACTCCAGAAAGATTTTGAGTGTTGTCTTAAGTCTTCATTTCATCCACATCAATATAATCAACGTATTATATTACGAAATTATGTGACATGAAACATGAAATCATTACCTTTTAAGGCCGGCTGAATCACTGAAAGGAGCAGACAGAAACAGCCCAAGATCTGCGAAGAAAACAATGACAGTGAGTAATATGCAGGTTTGTTAATCGTGCTTAGATCATGTCTTGCCACAAACGACCAATGAACTAACATAAATTTATGAAACAGATTGCAGTCAGATTGGCTTGACTGTCCATAAAATGATGGCTTTGTGTGTAACAATACAAAGTGCTTTTCGAATCGATTCATGTTTGCATCCAAATTACAGAACAATTGAAAATCAACTAGCAAAAATTTAGGAGACTATAAACTAAGTGATCTGATCAGAAGGCACATTCTTACATACTCTCAATTCCTTAAAGCAAGCTGGAAATCGTCCCTTTGGTACCTACAACTAGTTAGCTTTGAATCTATTTTGATATATTTTTCAGTAAAAACCAAAATGGCACTGAAGATACTGAGAAAATTGAGTGTGACTTTATTTGGTTTTTGTGACATTATCAAAACAAGTGTTTGAGCATTTTATGGCAGCACCAGGTGACATTGAGCATAAGCAGATATACTATGAAACAACTTTTACACAAGTGACAACGAATTACGAAATAAAGATACAAAATTGAATGGTTCGACCTTTGGCATCTACAAAAAATTAACTTCAAATTTTGAAGACAAAATGAACATGATTCACAATAACGACAAACCTGGCATATCCAATTTAATGTCTAGCTTTTCAAGATCGATTCTAGATCTTCTGTAAACATCGCTTATCCAGGAACTCCAGTTATCAATTTCCCTAAAAACGGATCAAGCAATATTCAGAGATTGTGAACTGGGAAGAGCTTAAAACGTTTCTGAAACTATGAGTGACTTGACAATTAACGTCATATGGGAGTATGATTGGATTGTAAGAAAGGTATCTAATTTAAGATTGACATTAAAGGTATAAATCTGCTTGTTGAAAATGTTAAGCAGCCATAAAAATCAAGTGCTACATTTCGCACTAGTCATGTGCCAGGTGAATAGCTGGACAGGGCTCTCGGAAGATGGCACAAAGCACAAACTGAAAATCTGAAGACTCTGCCAGATTGAAATTATGAGAGCACCTGTTCACACACAATGAAAGGAATCTCATAGAAAATTAAAAACTAAATTGGAAAAAGTAGCTTGTAGAAGTGAAAGAGCCAATAACCCGGCTATTAAAAATCTCGCTGCCATAACACTCCTGTAAGTGTAAAAACTAAACTACAGAGATATTCACCTGAAGTTTAATCGGCTTTCTGAATTTCGTGTTGCCTTTTGTCGGAGCCAACGTTGCAGAAGAACAGGCATGGTTGGTGGGAGATCAATTAACTTGAAAAATCTATGAATTCCTTGCCCAAATCGGTCCATGCTGGAAAAAAGTGAGCACTTAAAACAAGTAAATATAGAGTATTAAAATCTTGGCTGCAAATGGCTGGAAAAAAGGCTGCAAATAGGCAAGAAACACTGATAAAAAATCAATACTGAATAATATAAAGATTGTTGCTTTACAAGTGGTTTTGATACACACAACGTCCCCATATAATCTGAGTAAATTCAAAGTGTTCATTTTTGAACTGAGACCAAAAAACTCATGCATAGTATGAAAGGGTTGAAATATTCTTGCTTGCCAAACTAGATCTGAAGCAATTGACTTCCGATATACAAAGCTGAATTCTGCCGATCCCACATCTCTTAGTCGCATGAGCAGGATTACTCAAAATGATATGTTATTTCAAACTCTGGCAGGGAACATGGTGCTAAACATTGGGTAGATGTTCGATTTAATAAAGGGAATTTTTGTCTCATGGAACTTTTGTCTTCTTTCTAGCTCTCGTGGATAGCGCTCTATCAGCCTTAAAGGTTTGTTAGCAGCTGTAAATATCATCAGCTGTACCGTCTTCAATATATATGTCCCTTAGTAGCTCAGGCTATCGACCGCGGTAAGGCAATTTTGCTGCAGTTCTGAAGGCTGAAGGTTGGGCTCTATCCTTTATTTAGGAAAGGACTAACAACGACAAGAAACTGGCCATCCTTTGTCTCCATGCTTTGGCCTATGGGCACGGCTCGCATACAGGAATCGCCTTACTTTAAGCAAGACAGTTGATGACAAAAATTAAATGATATTTCCAACAATTAATACCAACTTGACTCTCCAAATAGCAATCGGAAACCTTACATACTGTTGTTCTATACTGTAAGGGTTATTTACCTTGTCTTCGTTGCATATGCAAGTACGATGACGTCATTTTGCAAATAGTAAAGCTGACTGTTCACTCCAATGCCATTGCTTAGATAGAAGGGTTCTTCTGTTCCACGTTTTCCAAGCCAAACAAAGACATCCGAAGGTAATTTTCGATTAAGGATGAAATCAACGTCGATCAGAATAATTGTTGAGCACTTCGGTCTCTCGCGATTCACCTCAACCAAAGCCCCTAAAAAGGGACAACAAACTGCATTGCAATGGACTCGCCTAAGCTCATTGATCACACAATACAACACCGTTTGAAGGTGGAAATGGGATGCTATGGAGAAACTTTTTCCAAGCACCGTATGTGGCAAAAGGAACAATAGCGTAATTTTCAAGCATTTTTTAACATTTTACTGAAATGTAATAAGCCAGAATTTGAGTTATTTTTGTTAATTTATCATAATTATTTTTCACAAAGACGCAAAAAGTAAGATTTCCAATGTCCACCAGGAGAGCTACAATTCCTATCACTGGCAAGATAGCCAAATTTCATCCAACCTAACATATCAATTAATTCGAATGCCTTTCCTTGTAAAACAATTTGAGATGTTTCAAAGCAGATCGATTGATCCAGGATCATTAAACAGCCATACACGTTATGTTTGAGAACTAGAGGACAGTTAAAATGTGCGTCTACATATGGTATGTGACTTTGTATGACGACTTATGTAGCAATAAGCATGAATCAGCATAACATATGAAACGTGGTGAAATCATTAAAGAATTAATATATGCTAGGGAACATATTTAACAGAAAACAGAAACATAACATGATTTGTGAAAACATACTTTTGTGAAAACAATTTATATATTTATAAATAAAATCTATGAAAGTAATTATGATTTCTAGTACGTCCTTTCATAGATTATCGGGAAAAAGCATTTGTTGAGAAATGGTTGATTCGTTCGTAAAAAATACACTCTTTCACTGCTGTTTGAATTTATACATGCGAACAAGAATCACTCAAATAAATGTGCTCCAAAAACGCTTAGACAAATCAAGTGCTTCCAATCAACTACTGTGCATGTCTACGTGATACAAATAAGTAATCTGCCTTCAGAAAGAAATTATTACCTTTCCTTTTCAAAAACCCTCGCGCATATAAACAACTCTCACATGGAATTTTCCAAGGTCTTTTTGGACTCTGCGCAGTAGACCGGAAAGTGTGGCAAAAATCAGGCATGGGAAACGCATTGGATTGAAATGAAACTATATTTAGTTCTAGTAAAAACCTATCAATGTGACATATAAGGGGTGCATAATAAAACACAAATTTACGGAGATACCAACCATATTCTCGTAACAGTTTCACAAGTTCCTGAGCAGTGCAAATCTCATTCTCTTCAACGCTTGCAATAAAACTTGTCTTGCCTCTAATTTCGTCCATGGTCTGATTGAAAAATAAATTTCATCTTTGCAAGTTACATGCAATACTAGATATACGTATAAAAATACAGCTCATAATAAAATGAGATTCTCAGCTAATTGTGCGCATATAATCAAGCATTACCAATAGCTCAATATAAAAAGATCAAATTAACGAACATGGCCTTTCGTGCAGAGTTCTTATCGAATTCTGAGAAAATCTCAAATGACATGATTCTGTAACAAACGCTTTAAAACCCCTTCCACTTAGACGCTTCCGTGAAAACGGAAAACATTTGTTTCGTTTCCATTTAGATATAAAAGCGAACTTTGCAAACGTACTCTAGTGTCTCTAATAGAAGGGGGAATGTAATAGAAGGGGGGAGGTAATAGAAGGGGGTGTTCATGTCGACCAGTTTTCAATAGGAGGGAGGTGCTAATAGAAAGGGGTGTTCATGTCGGCCTGTTCTCAATAGAAGGGGGTTGCTAATAGAAGGAGGTGTTCATTCCGGCCAACTTTCAATAGAAAGGGGGTGCTAATAGAAGGGGGGTGTTCATGTCAACCAGTTTTCAATATAAGGGCGTTGCTAATAGAAGGGGGTGTTCAGGTTGGCCAATTTTCAATAGAAGGAGGGTGCTAATAGAAAAGGGTTCTCATGTCGGCCAGTTTTCAATAGAAAGGGGTTGCTAATAGAAGGGGGTGTTCAGGTTGGCCAATTTTCAACAAAATGCCAGTAAACTTCAATAGCAAAGGGGAGCTAATAAAAGAAGTGGATGTTGGTAAATCTTTTAATTAAAAGGCAGTGGAATTATTAGGATGGTGATACTGGTTACTTGATAATGGATAGATGGTTAGAGATAAAGATAGACAAACATAACAGGGGGAATTATGACAATTAAAATATAACTACATAACATAACAAGGGGAGTTATTGACAAGTGAAAATTGCGTGTCCTGGTCATGACAGATTTGTAAAATTAGACAGAAGGGGGTGCTAATAAGCGACAGGGGGAGGGCAAATTCTTCTGAAATTAATACACGGGGGGCCCTTCTATTAGAGACACTAGAGTATTTGTGAAGACGCTGCCACTTAATGGCAAGGAATTTATCACGGAGATTAGGTTTACTGAGCAAGGTGTACTATAATCCAAGAGTCAATTATACAAAAATATACACATCTTACTGCGCAAAAGGAATCGTAATGTAATATGATACTACGTAATATTACTTATGCTGAAAATTTCAGATTTGGGAAATGAATAGGAAAAAAATTTTCTTTATTGGTGAAAACAAATTTTCAATCATGGTGGGTTCATTTTTAAGCAAGTTTTCATATGTAAAATATCCAAAAAAAAAATTTTTTATTCCATCCAGGCGAACAAACAACAGACAAAAAAGTAGAAAATTCATCATTAATCAAATGAATGCAACTTGTTATATTGAGACAACCCAAAGAATAATATGCACTTAGAAGATCTTCTACATCATTGAAAGTAAAGTTAATGTAGCCCCCGTCCAGGGAAAACGACTTTCTAAGCAACATACATTAACTGCTGTCTTACCGGTCGACATCATACGGAGGATACTGTAGACAACATACCTTGAGCCAATGGGAGAAGCAGGAAATGAAATGCTTAGCCTCTATCGTGTTGTCAGTCATGAACAGCACATTTCTGTACCGCTTTATCTGAAAATGGTAATCATATATGTTATGTGGAAATAAAATCATTACTGTCATCAACAGTGGGTGTATTTTCAAATAAGTTAAAAACTTCAAGCTATAACAAAAATTCAAGCTATAAGAATAGCTCACCAATCTGCAATATTCTTGTAACGAAGTATTTTCTAAAGACGTAGAGTATGCCACTGAATCAAATGTTGAAGTTGTTTCATCTGAAAAGCAATGATTAAAAAGTGTTGTCACCGTTAGGACAAAAGCTCTAGGACAATGAAAATTGCAAACGATTAATCAATTTGTCGTTACGAAAATCAAACTAGATACCTCTAATCAGAGATAAACAATTATTGAGAATATTGTTAAGAATATATATAAACTTTATCAAATAAAGAAAACCAAAAAAGAGCATTTTTCGTGCAGTTATCAACTACAACGTAAAAGTGCATCAATAAAAAATCCTTTTATGTTTGACCATAACTTAAAAGCAGAAATTTAGGTGCATCTTTAGTCTAAAAAGAAAGGAAAGAGGATAGATTGACCAAGCTCTCAAAATAAGTTAAAATATGTTTAGGGATAACTCATATTCAATCTTAAAACAAGTGGTGCTCTCTCCTCGATTATCCCAGCTACTGAGAGAGTCCCTCCTCAAGGAATTCCCCTTCATACAGTTTGATATGTAGGCTATTATTTCTCTGTTGTTTTTAGATTTGTGCTTAATTTGTATTGTGTGTAGTATTGTATTAATGTAACTGATAAATTGTATGTAGTTGAATTTTTAAAATAGGAGACGGAAACTAAAAAATAAGAGTTGTCCTGAAAAGCAAGTTCCAAACTTTTTTAATGTCTTCCTAATCATGTATTAACATTTTCAATGATACAGACCTAACCAGCCGGAGGTTTTAGCATATTTCTTTTAACTGTCCTTTCTGAATGTTGATGACACCGTATCAAAAAAGGTAATGAATTTGAAAATGTAAGGAAACGTAAGTTGAACTTTTTTTGGTATTCCAATTGCATACTCATTTGATGAATTACGTAGTCACTCTAACACTGGGATTTTTCTTCTAATAAAATCAGTACCATATCAATTTGTGGTTGACGTCAGTAAAAACTGGCGATAGACAAGAACAAATCTGGGGGATTTCTTCACTTTCAATATAAATTAGGAAGGATTTCTGGAACTAATTCGATGATTTCAGCCAATGAATTGTTTGATTTGATTTGACGGATTGAGGCTCCCTACAAGGACCGAAACTCGTGAACGTTTTCTAAAGCGAGTTGAGACTCTTGGAGGGAAAAAGAGGTTAACATGTTGCAACAGTACCTTTGAGACGAATGGTCAGGTAAGGTTTCGATCTATCTTGCCATGCTGCTGTCCAAGGCGTGATACCTGCAGGAAACCCTGTAGGCGTCCAGGCAACAGATCCTAGCTCAAATCGACTGACGCTTGACTGGAAAATCGCTGTAAAACGGAGAAAGGCTAAGAAACTGGCAAAACACATCGCAAGTTTCAAGGGAAACGCTAATGTTTATACAACTGCAAACTTTTAAGGCCTGAAATTACGGCATAATTAATTTGGCATAAACATTGATATGGTCATAATCTACCGGGAATAAAATTGTCACCATCGTGAAGCTAACTGAGCTTTGATAAGCATTGCAACACCAAGTGCTGTATTTTTACTAAACACCACTGTGGATTTTATAAAAAAAGTCAAACGATACATGTGAGCCTATTTGCAAAGAAAATCAATTCGGAAGTGACGTACCAGCATTACTCGTGCTCAGACCTCTAGACGTTCTCCAAGGAACCTTATCCAAGAAAAATTTTTTCACGGCCTCTGTAACTGAGATCCATTCACTTTCGTTTTGTAGCCGCAATTCACCAATGAAGTCTAGAATACTATCAGACATCACCAAACCATCTGCTAAAATACAAAATACAGAAAAAAATACTACCAACTTGACAGAAAAGACATGCAGCGAAGTTAGAGAAGTTTAACCACATCTAGCTAGTAAAAGCAAACAAAGAAATCAATTCAAGCGTCCCACTTGAACTTGAAAAACATGAAGCATAACAAAGACAAATCTGACATTGTCCAAAAAATCAAGCAAGAATTTTAATAAAATCCCTTGAAGATTTCCTTTGACAGTATTACACAGGCACTACATGACAAACTAAAGCAAATAAAGAATAATGTTTTATTTTGCATTCAGGCTTGTGGACGTTAATTTCCAAAATAATTTAAAAAATCATAAAGGATCCTTTGCATAACAAGTGTTATTCAAAGCCAGCCAACTATTGCTTAGGATATGCAGCTATCTAGCAAAAGAATTTATTCCTGCACCTATAACAGACTCTCACAAATGTTTAAAGTACTTTCAAAGGTCACTAGCATACCATCAGAAAAGCCCCAGCCATAACCTGCGGCAACTGCAATGAGAAGAGTGCAGGAATCTAGAATTAAAAGCATCAAGTCAAAGTTTATAGAAAAGTGGAAACAATACTTCAGTTCAGATTCTTGCAAATAATTAAAGAAGTTTTGTTTACCGATGTATGCGATGAAAGGCAACAAACAGGTTTGATGTCGCAGAAATTTACACTAGTGGCCAGGTACCGCGTAAAAGGCGTTCTTAAAAAGTCTCTGAAAACATTAGATGTCTCTGTAATTTTGACATTTTCGACATTTTATGAGGTCATTAGTAATTGTTTTTGTTTGAGTGTCGTAATGAACCGACCGGCAAGGAGAAAGATAAGTAAATTCTGATTCAGTGCCTATCGCGCGCAGTTGTTGTTAAGGCTATGTACATACAACCATATAATTTTATCACCAAAATTTAAAAAAACATTTTACTCGCATCATTTGTTAAAAATTAATTATATTTATATGAAATAATGAATTAGAAAATCTTTTTTGTCCACAGTGTGCATCATTCAAACAAAATGTATACAAAGACATGAGAGATTACTGTATAGCGAATGTTTTTGATGGAAACCTTGCCTACACTTATCACAATTTCAAAGCATACTCGTCACCCAGGTACGCAACAAAGTGCCTTTAAGTGAAATTTATGCTGATTTTAGGAAAATTATGAGTTGGTGATTTTTGAAAAAATTCATGACCCCGGACCTGCAAAAAAGTTGAAAAATCTTGAAATTTTTCAAAAAAATTTCTTTACTCGAAACAACCTAAAAAGCCGCAAGATACGTTCTGAATGCCATTTCGGGTCTTTTCGGTGAAATTTATGCTGATTTTAGGAAAAAAGGACTTTGTGATTTTTGAAAAAATTCATGACCCCATACCTGCAAAAAAGTTGAAAAACCTTGAAATTTTTCAAAAATTTTTTTTACTCGAAACAACCTCAAAGCCTCAAGATACGCTCTGAACGCCATTTCGGGTTGTTTCCGTGAAATTTATGCTGATTTTTTGAAAATAAGGAGTTGGTGATTTTTGAAAAAATTCATGACCCCGGACCTGCAAAAAAGTTGAAAAATCTTGAAATTTTTCGAAAAAATTTTTTGATTCGAAACAACCTAAAAAGCCTCAAGATACGTTGTGAACGCCATCTCGGGTCGTTTCGCTGAAATTTATGCTGATTTTTTGAAAATAAGGAGTTGGTGATTTTTTAAAAAATTCATGACCCCCGGACCTGCAAAAAGTTGAAAATATTTAAATTTTTTAAAAAAAAATTTTTACGTGAAACAACCTGAAAAGCCGCAAGATACGTTCTGAACGCCATTTCGGGTCGTTTCGGTGAAATTAATGCTGATTTTTTGAAAATAAGGACTTTGTGATTTTTGAAAAAAGTCATGACCCCGGACCTGCAAACAAGTTGAAAAATCTTGACATTTTTCAAAAAAATTCTTTTACTCGAAACAACCTAAAAAGCCTCCAGATACGTTCTGAATGCCATTTTGGGTTGTTTCGGTGAAATTTATGCTGATTTTTTGAAAATAAGGACTTTGTGATTTTTGAAAAAAGTCATGACCCCGGACCTGCAAAAAAGTTGAAAAATCTTGAAATTTTTCAAAAAATTTTTTTTACTCGAAACAACCTAAAAAGCCTCAAGATACGTTCTGAACGCCATTTGGGGTCTTTTCCGTAAAAATTTATGCTGATTTTGGGAAAATAAGGACTTTGTGATTTTTGAAAACATTCATGACCCCTGACCTGCAAAAAAGTTGAAAAATCTTGAAACTTTTAAAAAAAAATTTTTTACTCGAAACAACCTAAAAAGCCTCAAGATACGTTCTGAACGCCATTTTGGGTTGTTTCGGTGAAATTTATGCTGATTTTAGGAAAATAAGGACTTTGTGATTTTTGAAAAAAGTCATGACCCCGGACCTGCAAAAAAGTTGAAAAATCTTGAAATTTTTCAAAAAAATTTTTTTACTCGAAACAACCTAAAAAGCCTCAAGATACGTTCTGAACGCCATTTCGGGTCATTTCGGTTAAATTTATGCTGATTTTTTGAAAATAAGAAGTTGGTGATTTTTGAAAAATTTCATTACCGCGGACCTGCAAAAAAGTTGAAAAATCTTGAAATTTTTCGAAAATTTTTTTTACTCGAAACAACCTCAAAAGCCTCAAGATACGTTCTGAACGCCATCTCGGGTCTCTTCGGTGAAATTTGTGCTGATTTTTTGAAAAAAAGGAGTTGGTGATTTTTGAAAAAAGTCATGACCCCGGACCTGCAAACAAGTTGAAAAATCTTGACATTTTTCAAAAAAATTATTTTACTCGAAACAAGCTAAAAAGCCTCAAGATACGTTCTGAACGCCATTTTGGGTTGTTTCGGTGAAATTTATCCTGATTTTAGGAAAATAAGGACTTTGTGATTTTTGAAAAAAGTCATGACCCCCGACCTGCAAAAAAGTTGAAAAATCTTGAAATTTTTCAAAAAAAATTTTTTACTCGAAACAACCTAAAAAGCCTCAAGATACGTTCTGAACGCCATCTCGGGTCTCTTCGGTGAAATTTGTGCTTACTTTTTGAAAAAAAGGAATTGGTGATTTTTGAAAAAATTCCTGACCCCGGACCTGCAAAAAAGTTGAAAAACCTTGATATTTTTAAAAAAAATTTTTTTTACTCGAAACAACCTGGAAAGACACAAGATACGTTCTGAACGCCATTTCAGGTCGTTTTGGTTAAATTTATGCTGATTTTTCGAAAATAAGGACTTTGTGATTTTTTAAAAAAGTCATGACCGCGGACCTGCAAAATAGTTGAAAAATCTTGTAATACTTCAAAAAAATTTTTTTACTCGAAACAACCTAAAAGGCAGCAAGATACGTTCTGAACGCCATTTGGGGTCTTTTCCGTAAAAATTTATGCTGATTTTGGGAAAATAAGGACTTTGTGATTTATGAAAACATTCATGACCCCTGACCTGCAAAAAAGTTGAAAAATCTTGAAACTTTTAAAAACAAATTTTCTACTCGAAACAACCTAAAAAGCCGCAAGATACGTTCTCAACGCCATTTCGGGTCTTTTCGGTGAAATTTATGCTGCTTTTAGGAAAATAAGGACTTTGTGATTTTTGAAAAAACTCATGACCTCCGAACTGCAAAAAAGTTGAAAAATCTTGGAATTTTCAAAAAAATTTTTTTTACTCAAACAACCTAAAAAGCCTCAAGATACGTTCTGAACGCCATTTCGGGTCGTTTCGGTTAAATTTATGCTGATTTTTTTAATATAAGGACTTTGTGATTTTTGAAAAAAGTCATGACCCCGGACCTACAAAAAAGTTGAAAAATCTTGAAATTTTTTTAAAAATTTTTTTTACTCGAAACAACCTAAAAGGCAGCAAGATACGTTCTGAACGCCATTTCGGGTCTTTTCGGTGAAATTTATGCTGATTTTGGGAAAAAAAGGACTTTGTGATTTTTGAAAACATTCATGACCCCTGACCTGCAAAAAAGTTGAAAAATCTTGAAACTTTTAAAAAAAAATTTTCTACTCGAAACAACCTAAAAAGCCGCAAGATACGTTCTGAATGCCATTTTGGGTCTTTTCGGTAAAATTTGTGCTGATTTTTTGAAAAAAAGGAGTTGGTGATTTTTGAAAAAATTCCTGACCCCGGACCTGCAAAAAAGTTGAAAAACCTTGGTATTTTTAAAAAATTTTTTTTTACTCGAAACAACCTGGAAAGACACAAGATACGTTCTGAATGCCATTTCAGGTCGTTTTGGTTAAATTTATGCTGATTTTTCGAAAATAAGGACTTTGTGATTTATGAAAACATTCATGACCCCTGACCTGCAAAAAAGTTGAAAAATCTTGTAATACTTCAAAAAAATTTTTTTACTCGAAACAACCTAAAAGGCAGCAAGATACGTTCTGAACGCCATTTGGGGTCTTTTTCGTAAAAATTTATGCTGATTTTGGGAAAATAAGGACTTTGTGATTTATGAAAACATTCATGACCCCTGACCTGCAAAAAAGTTGAAAAATCTTGAAACTTTTAAAAAAAAATTTTCTACTCGAAACAACCTAAAAAGCCGCAAGATACGTTCTCAACGCCATTTCGGGTCTTTTCGGTGAAATTTATGCTGCTTTTAGGAAAATAAGGATTTTGTGATTTTTGAAAAAACTCATGACCCCGGACCTGCAAAAAAGTTGAAAAATCTTGAAATTATTCGAAAATTTTTTTTACTCGAAACAACCTCAAAAGCCTCAAGATACGTTCTGAACGCCATTTCGGGTCTTTTCGGTGAAATTTATGCTGCTTTTAGGAAAATAAGGACTTTGTGATTTTTGAAAAAACTCATGACCTCCGACCAGCAAAAAAGTTGAAAAATCTTGAAATTTTTGAAAAAATTTTTTTTACTCGAAACAACCTAAAAAGCTGCAAGATACGTTCTGAACGCAATTTCGGGTCTTTTCGGTGAAATTAATGCTGATTTTAGGAAAAAAAGGACTTTGTGATTTTTGAAAAAATTCATGACCCCTGACCTGCAAAAAAGTTGAAAAATCTTGAAACTTTTAAAAAAAAATTTTCTACTCGAAACAACCTAAAAAGCCGCAAGATACGTTCTGAATGCCATTTCGGGTCTTTTTTGTAAAATTTGTGCTGATTTTTTGAAAAAAAGGAGTTGGTGATTTTTGAAAAAATTCCTGACCCCGGACCTGCAAAAAAGTTGAAAAACCTTGAAATTTTGAAAAAAATTTTTTTTTTTACTCGAAACAACCTAAAAAGCCGCAAGATACGTTCTGAACGCCATTTCGGGTCTTTTCGGTGAAATTTATGCTGCTTTTAGGAAAATAAGGACTTTGTGATTTTTGAAAAAACTCATGACCTCCGACCTGCAAAAAAGTTGAAAAATCTTGAAATTTTTCAAAAAATTTTTTTTACTCGAAACAACCTAAAAAGCTGCAAGATACGTTCTGAACGCAATTTCGGGTCTTTTCGGTGAAATTAATGCTGATTTTAGGAAAAAAAGGAGTTGGTGATTTTTGAAAAAATTCATGACCCCGGACCTGCAGAAAAGTTGAAAAACCTTGAAATTTTTCAACAATTTTTTTTTACTCAAAACAACCTAAAAATCCTCAAGATACGTTCTGAACGCCATTTCGGGTCGTTTCGGTGAAATTTATGCTGATTTTTTGAAAATAAGGAGTTGGTGATTTTTGAAAAAATTCATGACCCCGGACCTGCAAAAATGTTGAAAAATCTTGAAATTTTTAAAAAAAATTTTTTTTACTCGAAACAACCTAAAAAGCCTCGAGATACGTTCTGAACGCCATTTCGGGTCGTTTCGGTGAAATTTATGCTGATTTTTTGAAAAAAAGGACTTTGTGATTTTTGAAAAAAATCATGACCCCGGACCTGCAAAAAAGTTGAAAAACCTTGAAATTTTTCAAAAAATTTTTTATCTCAAAACAACCTAAAAAGCCGCAAGATACGTTCTGAATGCCATTTCGGGTCGTTTCGGTGAAGTTTATGCTGATTTTTTGAAAATAAGGAGTTGGTGATTTTTGACAAAATTCATAACCCCGGACCTGCAAAAAAGTTGAAAAATCTTGCTTTGGTATCCTTTAAAAAAAATTTTTTTTACATCGAGAACAACCCTGGAAAGACACAAGATACGTTCCGAATGCCATTTCAAAGGTCGTTTGGTTAAAATTTATGCTGATTTTTCGAAATAGAAGGACTTGTGATTTATGAAAACATTCATTTAGACCCCTGAACCCTGCAAAAAAAAGTTGAAAAAATCTTTGTTAATACTAAAAAAATTTATTTTACCGAAACAGACCTAAAAGGCAGCAAGATATCGTTCCTGAACGCACAATGGGTCTTTTCGAAAAATTATGCTGATTTTG